TTTGCTTTCAAGTGGTACGTTAGGGGTAGTATGCTTTACTTTCAAGTGGTACGTTAGGGGTGTCTTGCCAAGTGGTACATAACCATGTTTGAAATGGGGGGGACAGGCTTACGTTAGGGGTGTCTTGCCAAGTGGTACATAACCATGTTTGAAATGGGGGGGACTAAGGCTTTCGTTAGGGGTGTCTTGCTTTGGTTTCAAATGGTACATAACCATCTTACGTCATGGGTGGTATGCTTATGGCTCTATCTCAATCAAGTATCCCTCCGCTATTGTGTAGAGACGTCTCACATGTTAGGTATGGGGATTGATATCGGGTGGAAGTCGGACGTTTCTGCACCTTCTCCGTCTTCCTCTTCACATCTATCCTTCCGTGTTCCTGGCGTCCCCTTCACCTCCTTCCCACCTCCTCCCTTTTCCCAAACCTTATTCTTTAATACTCCCCAAACCTTATCCTTACTACCCAAACCTTATCCTTACTACCCAAACCTTATCCTTACTACCCAAACCTTATCCTTCCATCCTTATTCTTGCTCCCAGGCTTCTCTTTGTTTGCTTCCCCAACTTTCCTGGATTCCGAAACCTTATCTTCATGATACTAGTACTCCCAAGCGTAAGTATTTGGTCGTTTTCAGCATTGGACCACAAAATTATTAACTGTTCCCCTATGCGTTCGTCCCTCTGGGACGGGACCTACAGCGCTGACGCGCCTCCCCTCCATTAGGTAGTTGGGAGGTGTGTTGGGAGGCTGGTTTTAGTCCCTTACCCCTATCTCCTAAGGCAGTAGCACGAACTGGTGACGAAAGTAATGACGTCAGAACGTGTATGTCCATGTGGACCGCTAGAGTTAGTATTAAACCATTAAACCCTGGAGAGGAGGCGTGTCAGCATCCCAGGTACTGAGGCTCAGGAATGACCTGGTCGCCAGAGTGCATATGACTACCTCGTTTAATAGAAGCTTTAGATGTTGACTGACAGTGCTTCTTATTGTATTATTATTTCTTTACGTCCGGTTGCGATTTCTGTCTTCCCTTTCGATTCACCACGGAAAGGCGTTGACCTCACGCCATACAATACAATAAAATAAATGTAAGGCAATACCATGTGGGTATGTGGCGGTATGACTTGGCTTAGATGTGTTCCTATCGTCTTATCGTTCGAGAAGTTCCAGGTAGCAACCGGGTTCAAAAATCGACGTTTCAAACGTGGGTTTCATACGCGTACCAATTCCGTCCATTCCCCAATACCGGACTCCAAGTCCTCCATTACCAATTACGTGGCCAAATTCCATCCATTCCACAATTGTTGTCAATAATACCGGACTCCAAGTCCTCCATTACTAATGACGTGGCCAAATTCCTTCCATTCCATAATACCGGACTCCAAGTCCTCCATTACCAATTACGTGGCCAAATTCCGTCCATTCCACAGTACCGGACTCCAAGTCCTCCATTACCAATTACGTGGCCAAATTCCATCCATTCCACAATTGTTGTCAATAATACCGGACTCCAAGTCCTCCATTACTAATGACGTGGCCAAATTCCCCATTACAATGTCAAATTCCGTCCATTGCCAGTACGAACCGAGCCACATACCTAAGCGAAAGGCGGTAACAATACTACAATATATGTACAAGGAGACATGGCTGACGAGAGACTAAGCCCAATCACATAACAGTTGTTGGGTAAAATACCATCGGTAAATGGTGCATGTAGTGCATCCGATGGTGGTGCCTGGCGCGGAGCCCCCCGTTGGCTGACATAGGTCGCCTGGCTGTTGCGGGACCAGGCGAGTCGGAACTGGGGCCTTCGGCGGCAGGGCTTGCGCTCCCTGTGGCGGCGGCTGAGGCGGGGCCGTCGGCGGGGCAGGCGACTGGGGCTGTTCTCGCGGCACGTGGGCCAAGTGGGCTCGTATCGACGTGGACGCTGGGCCATCCCTCCGGCGTCGTGTCCTGGTTCCGAACGTGTGACTAGTTCCTTGTATTCTCCTGTGTTCTCCCCTTTATTACTTTCCCTTGCTTACGTGGCATCCCTAATTACCACCTGTCTGGATTCACCTGTGCTACATTGATTGGTTTACGCCGTCTCTACTTACGCTGGGGATTACTTGATTAAAATATAGTATGCTTTGCTTTCAAGTGGTACGTTAGGGGTAGTATGCTTTGCTTTCAAGTGGTACATAACCATGTTTGAAATAGGGGGGGGACAGGCTTACGTTAGGGGTGGCTTGCTTTGGTTGATAGGGGGCACACGGACACGGACTTCCATGTGTGACATGCTAGTTGTTTCTATTCAAGGTACCTTTTTTTTAAACGATTTTTTGACACGGAATTTGCAAGGTATGATAAAGGCCCCTATGTAAGGCCCCTGTCGTGCATTCAAAACGTCCCTTTTGAAGGGAGCATAGCAGACCTATTTACCTCAATTTAAGGTACCTTTTTTTGAAAAGATTTTTGACACAAAAATGATGCCATAGAGAGTCTGCGATAGAGTGGACACCAGGCTACCAGGGGGCGTACAAGCACGAAAAGAACGATGTACCCAAAGCGGTCACCCTAGCTTCAGCATACGATCTCGTCTCTAACTACACTGGCTATATACTAATATAGGAGAATAATTGCCAGGGGAGATTTGGCCGCCTTGTAGGTTTGACTGGCCGCGCGGGAGGGAAAAAACTACTACCTCCCCGCGGCCGGACTCCCTTGGCCAATTTTTCTCTCTTTTTTGCCGAATTCTACGATCCGTATTCCCGTAGAAAGGCCTGTTGGAGGCTACATACGATCTCGTTAACGTTACATTGGGCAGTTTCTGACTCAGAGTCCCCACTCGTTCATATTTGCGAAGTATTCTTGAATTGAAATTGTAGATCTAGTCATTCCTTTCGTCATTGTAATTGTGTATTCCATTGTTAGGTCGAGTCGTGCGTTGCACATACTGTTGTATTAACGATTTTATTGACATATAAGGTAAGTTCTTCCAGTGATACAGTGTGTGTAGTATACGCTAATCCGCAATGTTACAGAACGTTTTTCCCGTATCGTAGCTATGTCCTCCATAAAGCTCAAAAGCTGTATTTACCAACGGTAGTAAATGTCGGTCAATGTTTAAGTTTCAAATTTTATAATGGCAGTAAATAACAGCCTCAGCACTTATGAACCAGTACTGAAGAAATTGTACCTGCACCAGTCCTAATTATGGTACTATGGATCATACTAAACCTGCTCAGAAACCATTGCCACTATTTCTTTTATACTTCATACGTAGTGGTAGCAGTCAATGTGGCAAATAAAAATCCTCAAACACCTACGTGTACTAGTATACTGTAAACTCAGTGCAGGTGCAGGTAGACATCATGAATAACATGCACAGTCTTATCTGCACTTACCTGCACTTACCTGCATTTGCAGGTGGTATTTCCTGTAATTGATACCTCTTGAACATGCCCTAAGGGTGGCTCTTATTCTAGTGTGACCGAAGACATGTACATAACACTCCAGCCAGATGTCGGCGGTGCTTTGACGGTGAATAAGCTCTAAACATCACGACGTGTTTTCAGGGCGCGTGTTGACAATGCTAAAGATGAAGGGCAGCTCTGTCGCAGCCTGTCTCCTGTTCTGCGCCATGACCTGGTGTCCTACGTATCCTGGTGTCCTAGGTAAGCGAGCTCGGATAAGTATATTTGATTTGATTTTGTTTAGTAAATGTGTTTAGTATGTGTATGTTTGTGTACGCTCACTTACGCTTGTGTATGTATGTATGTATGTATGTATGTATGTGTGTGTGTTATCTCGAGTGTTTGTGTATTAGGTGCCTATACGTGCAGCTCCTATATGTTGTGTCGAGCATATCTGCTATTCTGATTGCCTTGTTGTTGTTACATGTTCAAGTAAACTGAGATTTCGATCGGCAAAGTGTAATCAACATTGTCTTTGAGCGCGGACATCCTACGCAATAGTGCCACACTAAGGTGGTTAAAAGCAAGAACAAAAGGTCCACTGCAGTGACGTAGGCAAAATTTCGAACTTCACTTTCGTCTCTCCATCGGTAACTTACCTACCAAAAATCATGAAAAATCGATCTATGACATAAATGCACAGTCACCACACCATAGCCAAACTGAATGTATAGCCCTATGGTGAAGGTAATGATACTATAGCTAAGCTGCCGATTTCTTGACAGAGGCCGGATGTGTGCATTATCTAACCGGAGTAAGGGGGGAGGTGAGCAGTGCAACGGATGCGACGTCTGACTATTGTGAGTGGGTCATCCGGACTGATGAAAACAGGTTAATACTGGTAAGTCTTTCCACAAGGCCTTTCTTTTTACCGATAAACGATGTAAGGGTGCCGAAATACAGGTTCGTGACGTGTATCATGTATTCTATGCAGAGTCTGTCACACATAGCCGAATATGGCTAATCTCCCAGCAGATCTTTCGGTGGGGGGGCAGTTTTAAATTGGCCAGTCGACGTCTGTTACCATTTCCCCGTGGCCCACCGAAGGGGAAATGGTTACAGACTGGCCAATTTGATACTCTCTTGCCCCCACCGAAAGATCTGCTGGGAGATTAGAATATGGCGTCCAGAAAACTGCCGAACTCCCCTAATAAACTATGGTTAGGAGTAGGTTGGGAGTTGGCTGATGTCCGGCCAGGTCGGTTACAGTTCGGCTGCGTCAGACGAATATTTCAAAATGTTTAAAATATTCTGGTGTGAGGTTTGGCCATGGTTAGCAGGTGGGTTGTAGGTGCTAGGGAGTAGGTCGGGGCGTGGCTTGCAGTCAAATTCAACTCCAATTTAACTCAAATTCGATTCAAGTCGTACAGAAAGGTAGGTGGACATGTGGCCTCAATCTAGTCAGGCTGCTCCCGAACTTCAGCCAACCTTGGTCAGCTAGTGTTCGTGAGAAGGTTCTGAATGTGTGACACGGCTAGCTTTAGTCGTCTTTAGCGGTACGTGTTATATTACGTCTTTGGAAGACGGTACATTGCTCCAAAGCCTAGCAGTTCCCGACTGGAAGTTCAGTACTTTGCACTTTTGCTATAGGCGTCTTTTGCAGAAAGCTTTTTCACAAGAACGTGTCGTTTCATCAGTTTCAACTTTTCTTTTGATACATAGTCCATTAGTTTTACATAATAGAGGTGCGACTGTGACCAATTGATCAAGATGGGCAAAATGTTTTTCCACATTTACATAATACATGTATATTGACTTTCTGTTCTAGATCAATTTTGATGTCGGGCAGTGGCGCCGAGGTTCTCACAACTGTTCCGCTACCATTGTGACTTTCCATGATGGAAGTTCAGCAAACAGCAATATCATCGACACATTCTGCGGAGATTCTGAGGAAGCAGGTATTTTTTATTAATAAAAAAAACAAATAATATATACTAATAATCAATAGTACAAAGACTAAGTGACGGCGGACTCAATTCATATACAACGTGTATTCTCGCCGCTACTTATACATTATGAAAAATGTTTGACTAGACACACAAACTTATGAATGATAAATAAATAGACACATAACAGATAGGTATGTGCCTACCGAAAAGATACCTTTAACACAGTGACACTCTCTCTCAGAAACAAACAAAAGCAAAAAGGACACATGTAACTAAAACGTTTTGTTGATATGGTATTAAAAATTTATTGTTGCAGAACAGTTCATATCAGAAGAATAAAACACCCCCCACACACACACACACGAACATACCCTCAACCACACACTTACACAAACACCCTCCCCCCCCACACACAAACAAACACAAACACACACACACACACTCATTTGCATAATTGGTATCTGTTGATGTTCTGCGTGCCACAGATTAAATAGATTACATGTATAACATTACTATTATAGAAAACACTGTAATTATAGAATTTCCTCCTAATTATGCAAATTAAGTCCTCATTTGCATAATTTGCTTTTGATTATGTACAACTTTCTCTCAGCTACCTATATATCAAAAATGATGAAAATACGTTGTTCCTGTCTAGACTTATTGGAACAAGCTACTAGGGGGACCACACCCACACCATTTATTTCTGACAGGAAAAGCTATCTGTCACCAAAAAGTCAAGACCATATCATGTTCAGGACAAAAGATACCAAAACCGGAAGTTCTGCTGCAGTACCAAGGGCATCCACCAGGAGGCCCATATTTTACCTTAACCTTCGTCTTCCTAAGACTTACCAGCATACCAAATATCATCACAATCCAAAAAGGCGTTATGAAGTTATGCTGACTACAAATGTGCGGAAACATACACACACACAGACAGACAGACACACCAAAAGCAATACCTCCATTTTCATGGAGGTTACAATAAACACAATCCAAATAATAACTCGTGAAAACATATCATCATGATAACAGAAATTAACTTACAGTATCAAATCATATTATATCAAAAATTTTTATCTACCAGAGCCAGCCATTCCAGACATCTCCACGGCTAGTACCGGTAATCAGCTACGACTTGTTATCAACCACGGCAATCTAGCTCGGCACAGGACTGAGTTCGAGCTGACATTCACCACGAGAGAAATAGGTGAGTTGCGTCTCCAGAATATCCCAAGGAGAGCTGGTACCTAGTACTTAACGAGTGGGGTGAGGTAGATACAGTTCCAGTAGAGGGGAAGTGGTCAGCAGAACTTGGGGCATTCAAGCTCTTGTCACACATTCAGAACTGTTACCTTCCCCCGAACACCAGCCGACCAAGGTTGGCTGAAGCCCCTGTCACACATTCAGAACGGTTACCTTTCCCCGAACACCAGCCGACCAAGGTTGGCTGAAGCCCCTGTCACACATTCAGAACCTTCCCTCGAACACCAGCCAACCACACCCGACCTTGCTGCCGATCAACTCCGCATCCTAACCATGGTTGAGGGGAGTTCGGTCGTGTTCGGGAGGTCATAGCCCTCCATGTGTGACAAGGGGTTGAGTTTTGACTGGAAAATAGGTTTCAGAAAAACAACAAACAAAATCACATTTTTAAATATTTTTTTTTATTGCATTAACTTATTAATTGCTTTATCGTCTTCAGAGACAGAGCCAGTTTTCGATGAAAGAACCTTCGTCCCGCAAACAACACGAGAATTCAACAGGTTTACAGCTACGGTAATGATAGAAAATATAACATAGGAAGTTAATATTATATAAAGTCACATATAAAGGTAAGACATCTGTTGATGAATGGGGGTGCTTATGTGTACTTTCGGACAAAATTCCATATATCGTGTAAGGCCCCGTTCACCGAAAACCGCTGTAATCGGTTTCGATCTAATTTCCACCGAAGCCGGATTCAAGTGACCGGATTCCCATTGAAAGCCCCTCGATCCCAAACCACTTCGGAAGGTAGTTTCGAATTGGTTTTTCACCGGATCGCGATTTGCGTCTCAACTCAATGTGATTCCAATGTGACACCAGTTCACGTTACGGTAGCAACGTAAAGAGCAGAAATGACCGAATCATGTGCCCATTCTAGGACGAGCTTCACCGCCTCTGGCGGGACCACGTCGGCATTCGGCCGAGGTACGCTGGGAGGGGGGCACCAGCAAGCAGGTCGTTGACCTCTGACATTGATAACACGCTACTGTGCGTATTTTCATCAAACAACAATGAATATGAATCATGCGAATCGTGATCGAGCACGGTTTGAAAGGAACGTGTGGCACGTGGACCAGATGTGGGGAATGCGTTTTACCCGAATCGCGGTTCAGGCGGTTCACACCAAACCGCCTGAAAGTGGTTTCATATGAACAAGGCCTAAAGCCTTGTTCATATGAAACCACCCTAACCGCTATTCGGGTAACTCACATTCCTCACATCTGGTCCACGTGCCACACATTCCTTTCAAACCGTGTCCGATCACGATTCTTCTAATCCACATTAATTGTTGCTTGATGAAAACACACAAGGTAGCGTGTTATTAATGTCAGAGGTCAACGACCTGCTTGCTGATGCCCCCCTCCCAGCGTATCTCGGCCGAATGCCGACGTGGTCCCGCCAGAGACACATTATTCGACCATAACTGCTCTTTAAGTTGCTGTCACGTAAATTTTGGTACTGCATATAAATAAAGAAATATCATCCCAAAATCCATGACCAGGTGAAGTCACATTGAAATCACATTGCGTTCAGACGCAAAACGCGATGCGGGAAAACCGGTTCGAAACCACCTCTAGAAGTGGTTTGGGATTGAGGCGGTTTCAATGTGATTTGGAGCGTTCAGATGGGGCCACTTGAAACCGGCTTCGGGGGAAACCACATGTAAGGTGCCTTCACTGACTTCATATGAACAGGGCCTAAGTCTCATAGAGCCACACAGCAATGTGAAAGATAAATGAGATTTCCTTATTTTGAATCGTTCACGTTCCGCAAAGCTTACTTTATAGCTGATGCGAAAGAGAGAAATCGAAGCTCTAAGCGTTGATATGTCATATGTTTATGTTCTAAGTATACACCAGCACAAACCGTAAACCTACAATGTCATGACGCTTTTCCCCTTTCTTCAGGAATTTGTTCAATTCAAGTTTGGCGGGGTGTTTCAAGTTACTCAAGAACAATCCTATCCGTTCGGCTATAAGACGTACAACAAACCTCTACCTGGTGGTAGTGAGTAGTTTAACCTTGTTGTTAGCAGACGTCAGAAATATTTGAATTCTTTTTCAACCTTCATGTATCATTAAATGAGCCGGAATTCCGTCTGAATGTTTTATTTTTTCATCATCCTGGACATTTGAAGTGCATTCTAGACGTCTAGACATTCTCACTACATTCCAAATATTAGTGCCCATATTATTCTTAACCCTCAAACACCTGAACTTTTTTTGTGACGTTAATGCCCGAACGGGGTCCATATTCCTTTTTGCATCCTTCCGGTGACCTTTGCACATATATTGGTTAAACATATTAAGACGTTTATTTTGGAATAATTAAGTGTTAAAAATTCCAGCTTATTATCATAATTTATGCAAAAATAGGATGAGGCCTGCAGGCATGAACATGGGGTTGACCTTTGACCTCATATGATTGTCAAATTGTCAAACCTCTGAAGACATGATGAAATAATTCCTGAGGTTGAGGTTACTTGGCAAACTGCATAATATTAAAGCAATAATGCTTCCATGAAGACATATTGGGGACATCCGAACAATTTCCTGTGTAGGAAAGTGCAAATTCATGGCTGGGGTCCGTTTGGACCCCAGACGGTCTTACATCAGACTTCCGTTGTTATTTTTACAAATTTGTTCCGATCTCAAAAAAAAAAATTAGGAGAACTTGTAGAAGAGGTTTACTGACAAAGTCACGGGAGGAATTTTTTTTAGAATAAAAAAAAAATCAAATAGCACATAAAAATATACGTCTGGGGTCCAAATGGACCCCGTTCGGGTGTTTGAGGGTTAAGGCCGTCCCGAATGTTTTGAGCATGTTCAAAACTTTCGAGGTGAATTCAAAGTTGGTCGACAAAAATCGAACGGCATTCAAAGTGTATTCCAACTGTAGTATGGCTGCATTGTGAATATTCCTGCAGTATTTCGACAGGGTTGGGAACCTTATGATCGTATTCAAGGGGAAAGCACAATGAGCCTAAAATTTCGAATAAACCTCGAATTTCGAAGAATGTACTTGAAAAAAGTAACCATGAGTATACAAGGCATTTTTATTTTCATTTTCGAGGCGAATTCCAGCTTGTGTGTGTAGGAGATATAACTAGGGTTTCCCGAATGTTGCGTTTTTGCCGATTCCGCCTGGTTCTACTTGGCTCTTGGTGATTCGGAATAAGTGTGCAGTGGCCTTAAGAGTACGCCATTAGGTTTCAATAACCCAATTAACGACAAAAAATCTATAGATATGCAATACCATTAATTGGATTATGTAATAGGTTCACCGTAATCTATATGAGGATAAAATATAGGTCGATGAAATATTTGTAGGGATAGAATGAAAATGTATCGAAGATAACTGTTTCTTCATTTTGTGGATCAGGTATGCTGGAGTTCTACTTAACCATTGAATATGGGCGTCTTGACTTTGAGTTGACACCAGACACCCAACTTGTCTGTGCATCAATCCACGGCCGTGCTCTGGTATCACCCATTTTAAAGGAAGAGAGGTAAGGTCTTTCATTCATTACCTTCGCCAAGAAGGTTATGTTTTCAGGGGCGTTCGTGTATGTGTGTGTGTGTGGGTGTGTCTGTCTGTCAACACGATAACTTGAGAAGGCCTTGATGGATTGTCTTGATACTTGGTAGATGGGTAGGTCTTGATGAGACCTCAAAATGATTAGATTTTGGACCCCTTAGCGGCTTGTTATGGTACTGCAGCTGAACTTCCGGTTTTGATATCTCATGATCTAGACATGCTATGGTGATGAAATTTGGATGGTAGGTAGCTCTTGTGGTGGGGAAGAAGTGACGTGAGTTTAGGCCCCCTAGCGGCTTGCTCTGGAACTGCAGGGATATATTCTTGAAAATATTCAAAAGGGGATAACTCAAGAACCAGTTGACGGATCGTCGTGATTTTTGGTATGTAGGTAGCTTACGTGATGCTTAATATAATTATGTGACAATTATGCAAATATGGATGTAATTTGCATAATTTATGGGGAAATTCTATAAATCATCTGCATTCCATGATAGGACAATTGAAGCTTGTGACATTGGTAATTGACAACGAGAGAAACACAGGAAGATATTGATTATGTTAATAATGACTTAATTTGCATAATTAATTAGAAAATTTTATAATTATGTAATGATAACTGCCTGGAATTTCATACTTGTGGTATTTGAAAGGTAAATTGAGGTGAACATCATTAAACATAATTTATTCAAATCAGGACCTCATTTGCATAATTTATTAGGAAATGCTAGAATGCATTGTTTGTTAATATAAGACTATCTTTTGGTTGAGATTATGATAAAATGATATAATTCATGAAAATTAGGTTCCTATTTATTAAATCAGGGGGAATAATCTAATCTATAATTTGTCAGTCATAAAGATTAACATCATTATGGTATGAGATCGCATTGATTCCCATCAAGGTATGAGATCGGGGAACTCTAGTTCATTCTTAATCGTATTATTACTATTAATGGTTTTATACGGCTTTATACCTCTGAGATAGACTTATCCTGGCAAAACCCATTACTGCCTGATCGTGAACACACACGCACGCACGCACGCACGCACACACACACACACACATAGACACACGCACACACACACACACACACACCACAGAGACACACGCACACACACACACTTACATCGACACACGCACACACACACACACACAGACACGCACACACACACATACACACACACTCACATAGACACACGCACACACACACACACACACACACACACACACACACACACACACGCACACACACACACACACACACACACACACACATACATGCGCGCGCGCACGCACACACGCACACACATACTCACACACTCACACACAGGTAAAACAAAAACCTTGAGTATTCCAGCACCGACAGTTTGCATAACATGTTACATGTTTTAACATGTAATATGTTATGCAAACTAAAAATTAAAATGAAAATTACAGCATTCTGATATATGCCTGTGCAGTAAGTGGCCTCCTGATGACGACTGGCCGTGGATTCCCTTCTACTATTACAACGTGGCATGGGAGAGAACAGAAGCAGTTTTTAAAATAATCTATTATGACGTACAGGTAAGACGTGTGTTGCAAACCAAATACACTTCCCTCTTAATACATCTATTTTCCAGGACGAGAATTAAGAGCGTCAGATATAATTGGCAAGTACATGCATATGTGTACTTACGTTCGCAATCAAACTCTCCATCCAGTGTCTGCCCCTGTCACACATTCAGAACCTTCCCCCGACAGGCCAACCAAGTTTGGCTCAAGTTCGGGAGCAATCCGACCAACTTTAGGACACGCCACCGAATCGGATTTAAGTTAAATTTGAGTCAAATATGACTTGCAACAACGCCCCGGCCACTGCTGACCTACTTCCGAACACCAAACAACCACCAGCCAACCATAACCGAACATGCCGTCCACATGCGAATGTTTTATATATTTTGAAACATTCGGCTGGCGCAGCAGAACTAGTA